CTCGTGGGCACGCCCGAGTACCTAGCACCCGAAGTCCTCGCGCGCAAGGGCCATGGCACCGCCGTCGACTGGTGGGGCCTCGGCATGGTGCTCTTTGAGATGCTCACCGGCATGCCGCCGTGGTATACGCGGAATCGTCAGGACCTCTACGCCCGCATCCGCGATGCGCCGCTCGAGATCCCGCACTATGTCAGCCACGAAGCGGCGTCGCTCATCCGCGCGCTTCTGCACCGCGACCCGGACAAGCGGCTCGGTGGCTTGAAGGGCCATGGCGCCGCCAACGTCAAGGCGCATCCGTTCTTCGCGAGCGTCGACTGGGACGGCCTTCTCTGGGCCGAGCCGCCGTTCCACCCGAATGCCAAGAAGGACGACGCGGATACCTCCAACTTTGAAAAAGAGTTTACGGAAATGCCGGTCCACACGCCCGTGAGTCTCAACCCTGTCTCGGCGCAAGCCATTCCCAAGAGCATGTTCAACGGGTTCACGTACGAAGCGCCGTCCGTCTCGCTCGGCTCCAACTCGTCGCAGTCCAAAGTCGAAGCGGCGACCGCGCAGCCGTTTATATAGTCGATCGTAGTACATACTAACTACACTGCTATCGTAATATCAATCGTCTTCTTGTTTCTGCCTTGCCCGCCGTATTATCGTAAATGGAGACGTCAGAAAAAAAGCAACCGAGGGGCCGCAGGGTCGACGCTACTACAGAACACGAACAACAACCTACTGTCTCCAGCTCCTCGCCCAACACGAGTGGCCGCACCCTTGTGTCCCGCGGATCGCGCTCCTGCCTCCGCTTGCCGAAATCAAGTTCCTCAACCGAGAGTACACAACCATTCTGCGGCAACGATGATCCTGCGCCTTTTTGTCAACGACCAAAGGTCGGTTGCACTGCTGGATCCGTGATCGTGAATGGTATTTGTACGACGACGTTCGTCCATTAAGTTGATAGATCGTCGGCCAAACGAGCGTGGAGGACGACGGGAATGGCGGTGCGACTCGATGGTACGTACGAGTACCCGGTCGGTGGCTCCAAGTGCGCGCCAGGTGGCTTCCATGTACTGCGAGATGCAACGAAAGACGTCGTTCGTGATCGACTTCCAGCGTGTGACGACGGCCATAAAGCGAACGCGATACTACGACGATTCATCAATTCTTCACCGCAAAGACACAATATCCATATTGTAGACCGTGGCGAGGTCGGTGTCGGCGTCGTCCATGTACGTTTGGAGCCAGAGCAGCGTAAAACGTCCGACCTCGGTCAAGATGTCGGTCGTTCTCGTGAGCGTGGCCCAGACACCGCGACGTGGCTCGCGTCTTGCCCAATCACGTCAAAGACGTCGTCACTAGAACGTCACGGCTGGCGGCCGCGTCGTGAGCCAATGCGGCAACTCGGCCGTCGACATGGCATTCAAGCGTGTGAGAAAGGCTGTTGCCGTGTGCCACGTAAAGAGAACGAGGCTGTTGTCGTCGTAGTCGTCGAGAGAGTACAAGCCTTCCAGCACCATCGCGAGCTACCAGTGTATCTCCGATGCACTGCACGGGTACGAGACGCATCGGGCCACGCCTCGTCAAACGAGCTGACGTCCAGGCGGCGGCGGTCTTGCTCGTCGGGGTGTCCATCGTCATCATCGTGTTGCTGCGTTGTTGGAAGCACATTGGAAAGTGAGGACGAAGCACGCGACGAGCAGATGCTCGGCTGTCTGGATGCCGCCCATCGCACGAGAGACTGCCACGTATCGGTGCGGTATCTTCAATGCGCCTTCCATGACGCTGATTGGTCGAGTTGCACCAATCAGCGACCGGAATTCGACCGCCCCTTCTTTCGACCTCAGCGATAGCAGGCTAGACGACCATCGTCGCTCTCGGATCTTGTATCCTGATGCTCCATCGCATCCCTGGCTCTTGGCGATCCAAGCTGGTCGGTGCTTGCATGCAATTGGTGGGCATTCGAAGCGACCTCCAAGGGTCTGTCTCTCCTCCGTTTCGAGACCTTGGTACCGACGGCATACGACTGGTGGCGACCTGCGGGTATCAGACACAAGGCCATCGACGCGTTCGCATCGCAGCAAGCAGGTGGCGCATGTTGCCCCGTCCATCTGCGTTAATCGCTGCCGAGGTTGCTAGCGAGTGACGTGGTGCGTCCAGCACCAGGAGAGACAAGAGTACGTATCTTCCACCCCGATCCGAATCACGTCGTGCCTGACGTCATCGTCCACAGCATGTCACGGCCAAGTATGGACATTAGTGCACAGACTCATGTCGGTGGGGCGGTGACCCAAGCTCTATTCGCGGGTTGTCGCCCGGCGCGTACACTGGTATACAATTCAATCAAGGACGAGCCGTAAAGTCAATCTTGATGCGTTGTGGCTTCCGGTGGTTATCTCGTCTGTCCATGTCAACACATCCACTGTCTCCGCCGACGCCGACAACCTGTACACGCGCGACTACGATCCACGAATGGTCCCATTCTCAAAAGTCTAGCCTACTCCTCGCACTATAAGTCGTCCAGGTACCGCTCGACGCACTGGCACAGCTGTCGCAGTCGCCGAAAGCCGCGCGGGACCGTCTCGAGCCGGTCTAAAATCGCCAGCTCTTGCGCCTAATACAAATCGTCCATACGACAATATCGTCCACAACACGAGCATACCTTGGTCAGTCCCGTCACGTCCGTCAGCGCAAACGTCAGCGGCTCAAACAAAACGTTCGGTGAGAGACGCCACGCGACGCCAAACCGGATTTTCCGGCGCTGCGACGTAAACTGCACGTGCAGCGTCGTGTCCGTCACCGACACCGTGTGGTCCGTCTCCAGTACGAGCACTTCCTTGTACACGCGGGCCGCGCGAAGCAGCGTCACCTCGGTCGATTGGAGCAAGGTTGGCACGTCGTCGTGTGACCGCAGCATCCGCCTCGCCGCATTCTCCAGTGCATTCGTGTCAAAGAGCACGCGCTGGAGGTCTGTCCCGAGCGCCTTGACGCCAACCGACGCGTAGTGCACCGCAAACGAAGCCGTCGGCAAGGCGGCGCTCAGATCCACGTCCAAGGCAACGTGCACGGTCGCATTCCAGACCTTGCATTGCAGCGCCAAGGCGACTGCGACGCCCGAGACGGAGAGACACTGCCATTTGGACGCGCCGGACGCGAGCTGGTACGTCTCTTGCGCGGCCTTGGTGGCATCGAGTTGCGTCGCGAGGGTCGCCGGGGACACATCCATCGACGCGTTCGCGTGACGCGCCTCGAGCGTTGCTGTCTGCGCGGCGTGCGTCGACAGGGTTTTCTGGAGACTCTCGACTTGCCGGTGGAGCGCCTGCAGCCGTCCCGTGAGCTCGGCGCGAATCACGAGTTGCTCTTCAATCGTCTCAAGCTCGGCCCGCGTCGCCTTTTCATTCGCAAAGAGCCCGTCGACAATGTGTCCTTCCTGGTCTTCCTTGAGGCCGAGCGTCGCGGTGGCGGCGTCCAGCAGTGCCTTGTCGTGCATCGCCGACTGCAACACTGGGCGCAGGGCGGTCATGCGCGCGTGTTCGAGCTTTGTGCGCCATTCGAGCCACCCACCGAGCACGAGGTACGCCTTGAGCTCGTAAAAGGTCGAGAGGCTCGACGGCAGCGGCCCGCCATGGTACAAGGCCGCGAGGTGCGTCGGCACGGGCATGCCAGACGCCGTCTCCATGACGGCGGCGAGCTCGTCAATGAAGGACGTGAGCTCGTCCTTGGCCGATGCGAGCGACGTGCGCACGTCGACTTCGTATCGCGACACTTGCTGCAGCGCCGTGACGGGGTCGCCTGCCATCGTCGTCTCGACCGACGTATGGATGCGCGCGACATCGAGCTTGGCAAACAGCGTTTCGAGGGTCACGGGCGGAACGTCCACGGGCACCACGCTGTCTGTGTCGACAAGGACGTTGTTGTTGTCATCAGCATGGTCGTCGTCGTCGTCGTCGTCTTGCATGTCGACATCGTCGAGGCTGCTGTTGAGCGAATCGTCGCTCAAATCGAGCGCCGCGGGACGGGGCAGGTCTTCGAGCGGCAAGAGCGCGTGCTTGCTGCTCTCCGACGTTTTCTTCGTCTTCTTGCCCGACGACCCGAGCTTCTCGAACCGACCGCTGAGGTTCACGACCACCGACTGTCGCCGGCGCTGGTACTCATCACCGTCGTCGTCGTCGTCCTCGTCGTCGTCGTCGTCGTCCGAGCTCATGTCCATGCGACTCCGATCCGACTCTTCCAGAATCGGCGCCAGCGTCTCCATTGACGACGGCACAAACGACGACTCTTGCGAAAACAACGACGGGTCGCTCGCCAGAGGGCCCACCGGCCCGAGATCGAGCGTCGGGTCTTGCCCGTCGTCCGTCACATTCGGCGGCGCGTTCAAGAAGGCCATCGACGCATCATCATTGTCATCGAGTCCGTCGGACGACGACGATGCTGGCATCGACAGCGTATTGTCCGCGAGCAAGTCGTCGAGGCCGTTGGTCGTCGGTGCGACCACAAGCGCCGGCGGCATCGTAAAGAACTCGCCGGTGATGTCAATGTCTTCGTCTTCCGACGACGAGTC